TGATTCACGCAAAACGTCAACGGCTTGATCGTTTGTGAAATTTTCGAATGAAATATCATTCACTTGCAAAATCATATCACCAGGCTCAATTCGACCATCCAACGCAACAGCACCACCTAAAACATGCGGCTGATTATCATATCAAGATAGAATACAGGTCTCTTAACATGTATAAATAAAAAAATTGACTTAATCATAGAGATCTGTTTCACTAGTTATGCATAAGAGGACTTTTCCGGGTGCTCCACTCAACGCTCCATTGCCTGATTCTGATGCTAGCTCGTTTCCAGAAGAAATTACCGTCTCAGCGGTTTTCCGGATAAAACCACTTGACAAAGCTTTAGTTGTTTTAAGATGTTTTAATGCCTATATTAAAACAAGCTTGGAAGCGGATAATGGAATGGTATCCGTGCACGGTCAAGCGAGCACTGAGGAGGCCACCAGTGAGGTGGAGAGACCTCATGGAATGCCTGTACGGCATCACGTGGACTCGGAGAGTGCAACAACGAGGAGAATGGAGAAACTGCCAGTTGCAACATGGCGCGACAACGAACGTCGATGACATACAACTGCTTAAGTATTCAAGTAGTATCAAAATAAGCTTACCAGGGGCAAATGCTCAAGTAGCGGTCTGAAATCCTTCCTCTTGAACGCAAAACAGTCTGCTTCATGTGCTCACGATGAAGTAGAGCTCTCAAGCCATAAAAAAGTACCAGCAAAACCCTTACCTTTCATAATGTTGGCCACATAAATGCCATTATCACCACGCGAAGAGCTTTGTCCAACAATGCTTATACCCAGAAAGTTTACAGTGTCCATATTCAATGTGACCGTGATAACATCCAATGACATCGAACTTTCGGTGATGCTGCTGAACGATGAGGCCCGCGAGGGCTGCCGAAATCGTCGACGATTACGCCGTTTACGATATGCTGGAGCATGATGCTGCCGCGAGACGCTGGTGATGTCGGTTGATGTTGAAACCCTGAAATAATAGGAGAAAACCTGTATAAGAAAATCCCGTACAATCCAAATTATTAGAATTTTCCAGATCCACTGTCAACAGTCGTCGGGCAAAATCTTCAAAGATGCATGCAGTAAACTTTAATACCTTATACAAAATATTCAAAAATTCTGACATTTTAACCCCAAATTTACTTCAAATTACTCCGAATTTTACTCCGAACTCCAAATTTACTCTGTTTACTCCAATTTTTTGACAAAAATTCACGTTTGACAATAACCACCACTCTACTCAACAGTAAGGTTTGAAGAAAAAAACGCGCTTAGAAGAAACAACGCGTATGATAAGGCGTTTTCAAATATGAATGAGTTATCAGGCACATAAAAAACAGGTAAATACATTATAACGAAAAAGTAAATAATCGAAATATCAAAAAGCCGAGAATATGAATATTAGTTATTGGAGCAACTTTTAGTTTTTGGAAAAATAAGAAACCAGTTCAAATTAAGAACTTTTTTTTAAAACCAACTTTGAAAGCCTAAAAAGCAAGAAACCTTGACCGATCATCATCGTCCGAAAATAGTCGTGCATCGCTTTCAGAGCCCAGCGTTGAATCTTCGTAACGACGGCCTCCACGATGTCCTGGAATAAATAATAAATCGATCAAATTTAAAATTCGAAAGTGTACTACTGGGAAAACCCAAATAACTGGTTTCCAACCGAAAATACCGTTTCATCGAATGCTTCTCATCTACAAATTCTGACGACAGACAACAAATCTAACCTATCAAATAATACGAAGCATTAGAACTTAGTTCGCTTGAAAGCGAAAGATGTGAAGATCTGCGACTAAATCCAATCAGATGACGATGCCTGTAGCTGGAAAATGAGCTCTGATACAGTACTGTAACTCCATCTCTTCGTTGTGGTACCTTAGAATTCGTAAGTGCCAACGCAGACAATCCTGTTTTTGGTCCCTCAATTCGAAGAGGATTTCTTTGAGCAAAATGAGTCTTCCTGCGCAGAAATGAGCAGAAAGCAATTTGCGCTGACTCTCGATTTTTTGAAAAATCGCCGAAATCTTCCTGTTTCGCCGCTATTTCCAAGGTAAATTCAATATTTTCATTGATAAAACTCTCAATCAGCTGAACGTCCTTGATATCGGAGAATCGAAGGATGCTTGCCATGTCTTCCAGCGCAGTGGGACATCTTAGAAACATCGGAAACTCAGAAAGACAGTCCAGGAGATCGCTGATAATCTCGGGAAGATAAATCAGAGAATGAACTACTGCAGACCCTCAAATCCTGCATAATACTTTTCGAATAAATACTGATACTCCATTGTAAATCCGGGTTTTTTTTCCTTCTCGCCCTCGTATGAAGAACAAAATCAGAGAATAACAAGGAAGATTGGACGAGATTTAGCAAAAAATCTCGTAATTTTGTTGGGGCTTTTGGACGAAATGGCACAAACTGGTAGAGCCGTATTAATAGAAGCCTTGAAAAGAATCCTGGTCCGAAAACTTGGGAAGATTTATGTTCGGAACTGACAATTTATGAATTATTAGCTGTAATGAAGCAATAAATTTGCGAATAAGCTGCCCCATTAAATTTGCTGCCTTTTTCTCCCCTACCTTCTTCCCTCGGTCCTCCCTCCTAAAACTCCTCCACTTTTCCCATTTCTTTCCCTCCCCCCCCATCCCTCCCTTCTTCCACCCCGCCTATTTCACTTTCACAAAATCGGAGAACAATTTTTCATGAAAAAAAAAAATCCGCAAACTTCACCTTTATGAAATAAAAAGCCATTTTTTAAGTAAAAAAAAAAGTAATAAAAATAAATTATCTGAGAATTGGTGCAAAAAAATGAGGAAACCGCACAGCTGCCACTGCCAATGAACATAAAATATTGAAAATCTTCACGTACTCGTTCTTATCTCATTTAATCCTAACTTAACGGGAATGTCCCATTCAGGAAAAGCAAAATTTTCCAAATTTCTTCATTAGCATGAACAATACAGTGCATTTTTCGGATCATATAAAACGGCATAGAAAAGTCACTTATATATGCATCGAAGAGTTTTTTCAAGCCATACACTCACCAGTTTGGAAATTTAATAGCCATACAGCATGCATAATGGATAATTCCGAGACTTTTTACCTGCTATATCCAAAGATGGATTCATGGGGAAGAGATGGGGGAAGGGGAGGAGGTTTCGCAGGGGCCTATAAAAGCGCGGGTATGAAGCTAAAACTGAAGATTAAAGTAAGTCTAAACTAAAATAACTCTAATTAGCAGTGTGTTACAATTCTATTCTTAGTTTTTGCATAGTTCCAGGACGAGAGGGAACTTTCCTCCCCACTCCTCGTCGCCCCTTCCCCCTTCAGAAGCTCCACTCCTCCCCCCCCCTCTCCAATCGCCGTTGCCTCCCACCCCCAGGAGTCTAGCCTAGATCCGCCTATGGCCGCATAAACAAAATCGGAAGTTAACCTTGTGAAACTAAATACTGCTGTTGATACGGCCGTCTTGACATTCCTTTTACTTGCATTGGCAGAGCTCTCATATCACTGATCAGCGAATCTGAATCTGTTGATGCCACTGAAAAAGGAGCATGTTTAATCCCGAAAAACAACAGGAATTGAAATTTACAGCACACAATCTGACATAAATCCAATAATAATCATTGTATGAGTGGTATTCACGCAAATGATAACTAAACACAGGGAATGTTAAGAAATGGCCATCAGAAAGCCGAATCATAAGTGGACGGTCCAAGTGAAACGGCCGAAGTGGATTAAATTGATAAATAATTTGCGGCCCTTGGTAGGCCGAGCTGTAATTTCGGAAATAAACGGTCTGACCGTGGAAAATATGGAACGGTCGTAACCCATAAATTTAAATGTTGGGAAAGGTTGCTATCAATGAACTGGGGAAATCCGCTCCAGCGCATGCATGAATCTCACAGATATTTCAATTTTAGCATGGAGAATGGAGAATTTGCTACTATTACAGCACCAACACGGAGAAAATTTTGACCATAAAATAATAGCTAAACAAAATATATGGAGTGAAAATTGAAAAACTTACTGCTATGATCAAACTGTTGCACCGCTTGCCGATAAGCCATGCTTCCAATAGGATAAACTGCTGGTGCAGGGCCCGGTACCTGAATGAAACAAAGAAAAAACTAATCAATGTTTTTTACGGTTTAAATAAAATTATAGATTTGAGTATTCCGGATTCTTAAAATTCTAAAAAAGAAAGACAGGTAAAAAATTGCGTTTTTTTTTTTTGAGAATCATAACTTTTTTTGCGACGTTTCAATGGTGAAATTAAGGATCATAACAACCTTCGAGATTCGTTTTGGAGCTAAATTTGTGGTACTTTGAAAATTCGGACATGATTAAAACAGCTGTTCTTCTCTAAAATTATAAAAATGGTTTTTTCACACACATCGCAACAGTCTGTCATTCGTGGAACATACCATCATTCGTGCACTTTTGAGAGGAAGACCTGATGAACCATCTGAATGACTGCTTCCTTCAGATGTCAACAGGAATAGCTCAAACTGACCATTCGTTGACCGATGCAGCCGTTCATTGTCATCACGTATCTCTACTTTTACTTCACTGAAAAAAAAGAAGCTTTCTTAAGGTTACTACAAATTGTGGTTACATATATATACAAATTACTACAAATTCGAAAAAACTTACGGGAATACTCCGGAATCAGGTGCCGGAGCTTTGCAATAATATTTGAAATTTGAGCGTGTCAATACCCGCTTGAAATCACCAAGTGTTATCTTATCCGGTGGTACCATAACATCCGTGCAATATGGTACTGTTTCATCATCAATGTGATAATATATCTGCAAGTGTAAAACATGGATTATCAACTGGGTACACCACTGCGGAACATAGTGCACACCTTGAAAAATGGTACACACTCCTTCTGCTGTCCTCTTTTCCTTTACTTTTAGTGGCCGGCAGGGGGTTCAAAATTATCATAGTGAGAGAGATGGAGGAAGAGAAGGGCAAGAAAATGCACGGTAGGTTGTGGAGATTTCTGAACTTCGAAAAAAGGGGAGAAATGTGAGGAAAATGAGTTAAAATTTAATAAAAATACACAAAAGTGGTCCAAATTAAAGCAGAAAATGCTCAACGTGGCCCGGTTACATCAGTGAAGATGATTTGGTCTGATTTTTTAGGATTGAGCAAAAACTTCCAAAAGGCGAAGTATCTCTACCTAATCTACGAATGATAACTCTAAGGGCGTTTTGGTGATGCTCAACACATTACCGATGAAACACCAAAGGGCTAATGCCTTTAAAAAATGTTTTTTTTTGGAAGGACCACCAAGCTATAACTCGATAAAGTGTTTTTTTAGAGGAACCACTAAGTCATAATCCTTTCAGGAAAACAAAACGAACGCCAGGATCGCCAC